GCAGGGAGGGAGCCCGGACGCCGGGGCCCATCCCGTGCCCTGCAGCACCCTGACCGTGTGGTGGGTTGGGGTCCCGGCTCCCTTGGGTGCTGCTTTTCCATCCTGCCTGGGGGTTGGCACGGATGGAGGGCATTGCCCCCCATGGAGTCCTGGGGCTCAGCATTGCCCTGGGGGCAGCCAGGAGGGCTGATGTCCCCAAAAAATGGGGATTTTGGAGCGGGGGGACGTCACGGATGACGCCAGCCCGCGTGTCACCGCAGCACCGCGCGGAGGCCCTGGTGCCGGAGCGCGTGGCGCTCATGGCGCGGCACATCCGCGAGCGGGACTTCGAGGCCTTCGGGCAGCTCACCATGCGGGACAGCAACCAGTTCCACGCCACCTGCCTCGACACCTTCCGGAGCCGCTGCCGGGCGCCATCCGCTCCATCCTGCACACCAAGGTACGGGCGGCGCGGGGCAGCGCGGGGACCGTCCACCAGCCTGCAGGGACCTGTCCCCATCCCCTCCACCAGCCTGCAGGGACCTGTCCCCATCCCATCCACCAGCCTGCAGGGACCTGTTCCCTCCACCAACCTGCAGGGACCTGTCCCCATCCCCAGGGGTGTTCGCAGGGTCCCATCCACCAGCATGAAGGGTCCTGTCCCCATCCCCTCCACCAGCCTGCAGGGACCTGTCCCCATCCCATCCACCAGCCTGCAGGGACCTGTTCCCTCCACCAACCTGCAGGGACCTGTCCCCATCCCCAGGGGTGTTCGCAGGGTCCCATCCACCAGCATGAAGGGTCCTGTCCCCATCCCCTCCACCAGCCTGCAGGGACCTGTCCCCATCCCATCCACCAGCCTGCAGGGACCTGTTCCCTCCACCAACCTGCAGGGACCTGTCCCCATCCCCAGGGGTGTTTGTAGGGTCCCATCCACCAGTGTGCAGGGCCCTCTCCCTATCCCCTCCCCCAGCCTGCAGGATCCTGTCCCCATCCCCAGGGGTGTTTGTAGGGTCCCATCCACCAGTGTGCAGGGCCCTCTCCCTATCCCCTCCCCCAGCCTGCAGGATCCTGTCCCCATCCCCAGGGGTGTTTGTAGGGTCCCATCCACCAGTGTGCAGGGCCCTCTCCCTATCCCCTCCCCCAGCCTGCAGGATCCTGTCCCCATCCCCAGGGGTGTTTGTAGGGTCCCATCACCAGCCTGCAGGGACCTGTTGCCATCCCCAGGGGTGTTTGCAGGGTCCCATCCACCAGTGTGCAGGGACCTCTCCCTATCCCCTCCACCAGCCTGCAGGATCCTGTCCCCATCCCCAGCGGTGGTTGCGGGGTCCCATCACCAGCCTGCAGGGACCTGTCCCCATCCCCAGGGGTGTTTGCAGGGTCTCGTCCCTTGGAGGAGACGGAGGGGTGCAGGGTCCCGTGTCCTGTCCCCAGTCTTCAAGGGGATTGCAGGCTCCTGTCCCCGGGATGCAGGCTCCTGTCCCCATCCCTGGTGGTGTTTACAGGTTCCTGTCCTTGGGGGAAGATCGGGGGGCACAGGGCACAACCCCCGGGGGTGCAGGGTCCTGTCCCCCTCCCCAGCAGTGTTTGCAGGTCCCCATTCCAAGGGGTGTGCAGGACCCCATCCCATTCCCCGTGACCTTTGTAGAGCCCCATCCCACAGTGCCAGCCCCCTGCCCAGGGCTCTCCGACGTGGGGGTCCTGCCCGGGATGTGGCCCTGCCTCCCCCAACGCCTCCCCGGTTCCCCCAGCCCGGCCCCGGCCCCCAGCTCTTGGACGACCCCAGTCAGCACCTCCTGGGGCCGGACGGGCTGCCCCGGGGCAGCGCCTGAGCCCCTGCCCTGGGGCCCTGCTCGTGGTGACACCGAGGGACGGCTGTGACACGAGGGACGGCTGTGACACCCAGGGACAACTGCGGCACCGAGGGACGGCTATGACGCCCTGCAGCCTGGGGGGAGCCCCTCGGGCTGCCTCAGGCGGGACTGCCATGGGGCTGCCCCACGGCTCTGGTGCCCGGCGTGGGGCAGGATGTGCCCCTGCACCTGGTTTTTACCTTTTTGCAAACAAATACAGTTTG